ATTTTTAAAAAATTAAAATCAAAAATAAATTAAGTAATATAATCTATTCCAATCCCTCTAAATTAGAAGGATTGAAAATAGAGTAGAAGAGGAGACTCTATCTTCCCCCATCTTCCTCTCTTCTGTTAAAATTATTTTTTCAAACAACTAAAAGTGCTCTCTCCCGCTTGCTTTCCTCTCTTTTCCCTCTAACTTCTCCAACCCAAACAGAGTGTTAGACAGACTTAATTCGCACAAACTGAAATCCAAATGCACAGCTTCATAGCAAACCAAAGGACGAACAAAGTTCAGCATAAAAGGAAAACAAAAGTTCAGCATAAAATAACATTACATCTCTTTCATAGTCCAGGCATAAAACCTAGCTAGCTTGAATCCCAAAGACCAGCTCTTCAACAGAAGCAGCAATTCTCTCTTATTATTTTCCATGAAATACCACCATTCATATTTAACACGTTTATTATCTCACATGTTTTCTGCAAAAGTCAGAGTAATTTTTTTTATAAATTATTAGAGATAATGATAATTTTCCTTGGCCAACTTGAGAGAAATGTAGTTGACAGCAGAAAAAAAGAGGCAAAAAACGAGAGAGAAATTTATATAGAGCAGTGCTAGGGGCACTCGCCTCCTGCACTCTCCAGTCAACACATGCTTTTTTATTAGGCCACGTAAGCTTACTTTGGCAATGAAACGATTACTCTCCAGTAACCAACATAACGTGGCCCAATGAAAATGGAAGTGTTGGTTGGAGAGTGCAAATGGCGAGTGTTCCTAGCATTGCTCATTTATATATGCACTAAATGTTATACGCACCGACACTTAACATTACCTTCGGATCTTCGATGCAAAGAAGCTTCTCTGGAGTAAAAGCAGCTGCAAAATACAGCCATAAATGATCAATGAGTGGAAAACAACATCAGGAAATTGAAAATGCTTCTAATTAATGGAATAAGATTACACCAATAACACGATAACAAAAAGAAACGAAAAGGGAAAAAAAAAAAAACTGCTTTGATTTTTACCTAGACTCTCCATGGGTATGTAGTCCCATGGTCTGGGCTCACCCTTGAAGGCATCACTTCGCATCCAAGCGGCAGCTTCAATGCTTGAACTAGTTCGTCTTCAACTAAATGGAAAGAAGTTGGATATATGGAGAAAGACTTTAATTCAATCTTGAATTGAAGTTTGGCTCTATTCACCTCTTCGGTTTTTATGACATCACCTTCTGCAGTTATATAAAGATAGTGAAGATTGTCCAACTTTTCCAGATCTCCAAGGCTGAACTGTTTAGGGTCATTTCTATCAATTCTGACAACGATGTCAATTGCCTCCCTGAGAGAGGTTAAGCTTGCTAACCCTTTAGGATAATAACTAAGACTTTGGCAATGTACAGTCCGAATCTTCCTCAAATTAATCAAATTTCCAATCCCGTCTGGTAATTTCTGGAGGGAAGAGCAGCCAGTCAAATCCATAGATTGCAGATTAACTAATTCACACACAGATTCAGGCATATCTTTTATCAACTTTGAGCCAGACAAGTTAAGGTGCCTCAAATGGATCAACTTTCCTATTTCTTTTGGAATTGTACTATCCAAATGATTCCAATCTCTATCCCAACTAAAATCCACCAGCCTTAGCCGTTGTGCTTGATTAAAGATGATGCGCATTGCTTCACTGCTTATTGCCTTCTCTTGCGAAATTGTTAGGAGGCTGCGGAGCTTTTCAGCACCATAAATAGAAGTAGGAAAACAACACCCCTTTGCAATCGTTACTGTCCAATAACGAGCTTTACTGGAAGTTGAACCTTTCACTGGAGTTGTTTCTGGAGTTACATCCTGTTTCAAAAATTCATGGCTTGCCAAAAACAAGGCAAAGTCATGCACCAGGTCATGCATCTTGCATCTATATGTAACACCATTATGACCAACTCTGAAATCTTGGAAAAAACAGCGAGATGCTAACAACTCAAAGTACTCTCTCCCGGTTTCCTCCAAATAAGAATCACCATCCAACCCCAAATAACCTTGTGCCATCCAATGCTCTATCAGATGATGTACCAACATTTCAAAGTCCTGGGGGAAAATAGCGCAATACAAGAAACATTGCCTTACTGGTGGAGGCAAATCATAGTAACTCAGCAATAGAGGAACAAAAATATCTTTCTGAGCCAAATCTAACTGCCATAAAGCACTGTTCAATATCTGATCCCACTGTCTTCTAGTTTTAGATCGTAGAAGGCTTCCTAGAGTTTTTGCTGCTAGTGGCAAGCCTTTGCACCTCTCCGAAATTTTCAACCCTACTTCCTTC